GATTTTTAATACAAGCTTTGCATTTATTTATTTATCTATTTATTTACAGTATTTATATTCCAGGGCAGATTATAGTGCGCATATACACGGCAAACATTCAATACCGTTGATACACAACATATATAGACAAACACAAAGGCAATGTAAGCTTAATGAGGGTATGTTCAAATTCCTGCCACTGGGGGAGCTGCCGCATCATGGTCTACTGGTGGCACTGAGTCCTTGATTATTTTTTTTTGTCGTGTCAGGAGCGACTTGAGAAACTGCAAGTCATTTCTGGTGTGAGAGAATTGGCTGTCTGCAAGGACGTTGCCTAGGGGACGCCTGGATGATTTAATGTTTTTATCATCCTTGTGGGAGGCTTCTCTCATGTCCCCGTATGAGGAGCTGGAGTTGATAGAGGGAGCTCATCTGCCTTCAGTCCTGCTGGCACAGGGGTTTAACCCACTGCGCCACCGGGGGTTCCTGAGTCCTTGATTAAGTGCTTCCTCATTCTTTCGCCCACTGCTGGAGATTTTTATGGCATCATATATTAGTTAAATTAGCCTTCCTGCATAAGTGGTATCTAAATTTCCTACTTAACAGATGCAACTGTCTTTCAGGCTGCAAAGGTTGACAGCAAGCTAGACAAATCGTCAGGGGCTTACTCCGACTCAGGCTGGCTTCAAACCCATGACCTTTCGATCAGTGGTGATTTAATGCAGCTGACTGCTAGTCCACTGCGCCACAACTTATTGTACTGTGTTTACTTGATTTAAATGTGTGCTGCATGTTGGAAATAAGCAGCCTTTTCAAGCCTCCTCTGTTTAATGATTTGTCCGTTTATAATATTCTGTTTCAGTACTGAAGTGTATATATGTTCTTTGGTATGCAGTTTTTCCTAATTCTATGTTTTTGAAGTTGTGGGAGGGACTACAGACCATGTGACACTGTTTAGAACACAGTCAGTTGAGGGAAGACCGTTGAAGGTGACAGTTGGAAGCAGACCGTTATAAAAGGAGAGTTGTATAGGGCTGTAAAGTGTTGAAGAGACTGATAAAGACTGAAAGTTGAAGACACAAAACAAAAAGTTTAAAAAGAAATGTGCCTGTATATTTAAATACATGAAGTTGTGAGGAAAACAAACATGTTATTTCAAAGAAGACTATTTTAAAGTTTGTCTCCTGAGAGCATGAAATAGAAACAAGATATTTATGGGAGAGCTTTTGAGGAGGCCCCGGTGGTGCAGCGGGTCAAACTGCTGAGTTGCTGAACTTGTTGATCGAAAGGTCGGCCTTTCGAATCCGGGGAGCAGGGTGAGCACCCATTGTTAGCCCCAGCTTCTGCCAACCTAGAAGTTTGAAAACATGCAAATGTGAGATCAATAGGTACCACTTCTGTGGGAAGATAACGAACGGCACTCCATGCAGTCATGCTGGCCACATAACCTTGCAAGTGTCTATGGACAACGCAAGCTCTTCGGCTTAGAAACTGAGATGAGCACCACCCCAGAGTGACTGAAATTAATGTCAAGGGGAAACCGTTACCTTTACCTGTGTAGAGTTTGGTACTTCACAATGATTGAGAAACTGCCTCAGTGCCTCGCAAGCCTGCAGAGGAATGTTTATATATTTTCAGGGGCAAGGAAGGATTTTTCCAGAGAGGACCCATTCAAATAAAATTATGTTAGAAACAACATAACACAGGGCCTTAATATTAAAAACCATCCCTAGGCACATAACAACAATTTCCTTTTGTGTATTTGAGGACTGTCTCTCTTTCTCCAATCTTGTAAAGATTTTCAAGGGGAGGGATTAATTTTCAGAGAGGACCCATTTTGGATCAACATAGATAATGTGGATTCAGAAACTGGATTTTTTTGTGTCAGGAGCGTCTTGAGAAACTGCAAGTTGCTTCTGGTGTTAAAGAATTGGCCATCTGCAAGGACATTATCCAGGAAACGCCCGGATGTTTGATGTTTTATCATCCTTGGGGGGCTTCTTTCATGTCTCCGCATGAGGAGCTTTATTTTTTATTTGTCGTGTCAGAGCAACCAGTCCATTATATTACATTTCTAACAGAACAAAGCAAACAGACAAATACAAAACTTGTGAGTTTGGTAGTTGGTTAAATGTCCTTTGACCAGTATCTGGCCACTTGGAGTGCTTCCGGTGTTGCTGCAAGAAGGTCCTCCATTGTGCATGTAGCAGGGCTCAGGTTGCATTGCAGCAGGTGGTCAGTGGTTTGCTCTTCTCCACACTCGCATGAGGAGCTGAAGCTGACAGACGGAGCTCAATCCTCTCTCCCTGGATTAGAACCGCTGACCTGTCCATCAGCAGTTCTGCCGGCACAAGGGTTTAACTCATTACATCACCGGGGGCTCCAGAAACTGGATTATGTAGCAGTGTATAAAAACTTGGCATTATACTAAATGTCCTTTGACCAGTAGCTGGCCACTTGGAGTGTCTCTGGTGTTGTTGTGAAAAGGTCCTGCATTGTGCATGTGGCAGGACTCAGGTTGCATTGTAGTAGGTGGTCTGTGGTTTGCTCTACTGCACACTTGCATGTCGTGGACTCCACATTGTAGCCCCATTTCTTAAGGTTGGCTCTACATCTCGTGGTGCCAGGGTGCAGTGTGTTCACGTCTTCCAAGTCACCCAGACTTCTGGGTTTTAGTCTGCCACTTTTGGACTCTTGGTTGCTGAGGTATTCCTGAAAGTGTCTCTGTAGATCTTAAATTAAAGGCCTTGGTCTGTGGTTTGCTCTTCTCCACCCAGTGCCCTAATATATATAAAAACCCTCTAGGTACATAACAACGATTTTCTTTATGTATTTGAGCATTCTCTCTCTCTCTCTCACAAGCCTGTAGATATTTTCAAGGGAAGGGATGAATTTTCAGGATCAAAGCAGATAATGTGGATTCAGAAACTGGATTATATAGCAGTGGATATGGGACTGCCTAGCCTAACTGTGAAGGCCAGCATGTGGACTGCATTGTAATAGGTGGTCTGTGGTTTGCTCTTTTCCACACAGTGGAGTGTTAGGTACATAACAACGATTTCCTTTTGTGTATTTGAGAACTGTATCTCTCTCACTTTTACATATATATATATACACAAACATGCATATATACATGTGTGTGTGTCTATATATATATATAGACACACACACACTAGCTGTACCCACCACGCGTTGCTGTGGTCAACCTTCCCACCCTCTTTCTCTCCTTCCTTCCTTCTCTTGCTCTTCTGTCCCCCCCCCCTTTCTTTCCCTTCCGCTTTCTCCCCTTTCTTCCTTCTCTACCTATTCTTGGACTGCAATTCCCAGCAGATCGATCAATCTACCTATCTATATCTCTATCTAATCTATCTATCTGGACGATTGCTGGGAGTTGCACTCCAGGAACAGGAAATTGGAAATTTGCAGGAATTGGGATGCTCTCCAAGAAATCCCGTGAGAAGAAAGCTTGCAGCTTAGAAGCAGTGCATTTGGATCTTCCTCCTCTCCGAAAGGGCCTGGTCTAGGGGATGCTGGGAGCTATAGTCCGGAAAAGAGTGTGGATATTTTATTTATTTATGACATTTATATGCCGCCCTTCTCACCCTGAAGGGGACTTGGAGCGGCTGACAAGTAATATACAATGCAATAAATAAAATAAATACAATATCTTCCTGGATCCCTCTCTTTACTCTGGTCCCAAAGGAGCAGTTGGTGCTGGGGGGATGGGCTCCCAACTGATGACACTGAAGACAAGATGGCACTGTCCTCTTGGCCCCTCTCTTTACTCTGGTCCCATATTGCTATTGCATGCTAATTGTGTGCCGGGGGATTTGTTTTTGCACATGTGCTGTAGCATCTTTTTGCTTTTTTTTTGGCTTTTTAAGTCCCTTCCTCTGTGTTTTTCAGTGTTTTTATGGGTGATGGTCACTCATTGGCCTGATAAGTGTATTGTGTCCAAATTTGGTGTAAATTCGTCCAGTTGTTTTTGAGTTCTGCTAATCCCACAAATGAACATTACAATTTTTATTTATTGTGTCAGGAGTGACTTGAGAAACTGCAAGTTGCTTCAGGTGTGAGAGAATTGTCGGTCTGCGAGGACATTGTCCAGGAGACGCCCGGGTGTTTGATGTTTTACCATCCTTGGGGAAAGTTTCTCTCATGTCCCTGCCTGGGGAGCTGGAGCTGATAGAGGGAGCTCACCCCTCTATTCAAACCTCCGACCTGTGGGTCTTCAATCCTGTCAACACAAGGGTTTAACCCACTGCGCCACCGGGTGCTCCTTGTATCTCTCTCAAAAGCCTGTGTAGATATTTTCAAGGGGGAGGGATGAATTTCCAGAGAGGCCCCATTTTGGATCAAGGCAGATAATGTGGATTCAGGAACTGGATTATATAGCCGTGGAGACGGGGCTAACTAGCCTAAAGCTCTGAAGGGCTTCAGGTGGGCTTCGGCAAGGGCAATTTCCCTTTGGGGAAGGAAGGAAGGAAGGAAGGCAGGCAGGCAGGCAGGCAGGCAGGCAGGCAGGCAGGCAGGCAGGAAGGAAGGAAGGAAGGAAGGAAGGAAGGAAGGAAGGAAGGAAGGAAGGAAGGAAGGAAGGAAAGGGCGCTCTAGTGGCAGATGCTTGGGTCCTGTAGCGTGGATTCCCTTTGGAAGGTGGCCGCTGGCTGATCTCTCTCGCAGGAAAGAGAGAGAGAAGGGGGCGAGGAAGAGACGTCTCCCCCTCCTTTCCCGCCGGCTTTGGGGAGAAGAAAAGAGGAGGAGGAAGAGGCGGCGGCGGCGGCGACGTGACTCCTTTGTCGACGGCGAGGGAAGAGGCGCCAAGCACGAGGCGGGCGGCAGAGCGGGGAAAAGGGGAGGCGGCAGCGGCGGTGAGGCGGCGTCTGTCTCTGCAGCGCCTCGCAGCAGCAGCAGCAGCATCAGCATCGGCAAAGGCACCAGCCGCATCCTCCTGCTCTCGCTCCCGCTCCGCCCGCGTTGGCGCACCTGGGAGGCGCGAGGGCCATGGCGGGAGGCGGCGGCGGCGGCGGCGGCGGTGGCGGGGCCGTGGTGGCGGCGGCGGCGAGGGGCCCCCGGGGGGCATGACCGAGGCGCAGCGCCCCTCCAATGGCTCCGGAGCCCCCCGAGCCGCGCCTGAGGGGCCCGCGGGGCCTCCGCACGCCGGAGAAGGAGGAGGAAGAAGAGGCGGGCAAGGCGGCCCAGGCCAGGGGCCCGCTCTCCAGGGCTGCCATGCTGCTCGGGCTCCTCTTCGTCCTCTGCCACCGCGTCCAAGGTAAGCAGAAGAAGAGGCCCCCAACGCCGCTGCCTTTGCCTTTGCAGCTCATTGTCTTCGCCGGGGAGCGCTCTGTGGAGCAAGGCGGCAGCTGGAAAGAGGGAGGGAGGGGGGAGGGATGGGCCATTGTGTCCCCGGAGCAGGTGAGGAGGGCAAGCCATGGCCCACCTGGTGCCCTCTTGGAGGAAGCAGAGCGGGGAGGTCTTCACTGTCACCAAAGTTGACCGCCTTCTGGGCTGCCCACCCTGTCTTCCTCGCGATTGGTCTTTCGGGATCAGCCTCCATCATAAGCTGGGAATCATTCCTCATCTTTCTGTAGCCCTTGGGAGTGTCAAAGAAAGAGAGAATGGAATGTATTCCTCAGGCTTCAAAGAAATGCCGGTATGCAGGCTGCAGATAAGTTTCCGGCCCCAATTCAAGGTGCAGGTTATCACCTACAAAGCCTTAACGGAGTGGTTCTTAACCTGTGGGTCAGGGACCATCACTGGGCCATGAGGACAAAAATCTGGCCCTCCTTCCTCTTTATTTTATTTTATTTATTTCCTTTCACACCGCTTGCCACTCCTTTCTTGTTGCTAACCATGGCTTATGTTCTGTATCAGAAGCTAGAGCTGATGTGGTCTATCCAATGTAATATTCTGAATCAGCACTCCAAATTGACTCTAAAGTTGACAAAAAATTGATTTGTAACCTTTTTAGTACTAATGTTGGAAAGTGGTCCCTGATCAAAGTAGTCCCTGGTCGAAGTGGCCCCTGTTCAAGTGATCCTTGGTGAAGTGGTCCCTGGTCAAAAAAAGGTTGCGAACCACTACCCTAAATAGTTCGGTCCTGCCTATCTTTGCAATTGCATCTTCCGCTATGAACCTGTGTGGGCTCTAAGATCTGCTGGGGAGGCCCTTTTCTCGCTCCCACCTCCATCACAAGCACGGTTGGTGGGGACAAAGGAGAGGGCCTTTTCAGTGGTGGCCCTTCAGCTCTGGAACTGTCTCCCCAGGAAGATTAGATTGGTGGTCACCCTGTCCACTTTCCACAAAGAGCCAAAAACTTGGATGTTCCAATGTGCTTTTGTTCACTAGATAATTTTGGCCCCTCCAGCCACAATTTAATATCTGGCTCCTGCACTTTACCATTGTCCCTGCCTTTTAGTTGTACTACACAAATAGACTTGGCCCGTTTAGCCCATACTTATCATCTGGTTCCCACACTTTTTTATCAGCCCTGCCCTTGTCACTGTTTTGCACAAGCCCCTGCCTCGCCTCACACCTCAGTATATGGCATCTAGTTTAGGCTATTGGTTGTTTTGGTGGTTTGATTGTTTATTATTATGTTTTTATGATGTTTTGTATTTGAATATTTTAATTTCTGGCAGACTGGGCTTGGTCCCCATGTAAGCCGCCCCGAGTCCCAGTGGGGAGATGGTGGCGAGATGCAAAAACAAAGTTATTATAATATTATGATTAAAAGGAAAGGGGCTGAGGCTGTTAGGAATTGTGGGAGTTGAAGTCCAAAATACCTGGAGGGAGGTCCCAAGTTGGCCCATGCCTGATGTAGTGGAACAATGACCATTTGTTGACTCCTCACATTTTGCTTCTCATCCTCTTGATCGGCTGCTCCATTTCAAAGGGTTGGGTTCCTTATCTTATTTCTATCTTGGGAAGTAAGAGAAAAGTTCAAATCTGAGCATCATGATATAGCTTTGGCGGGGGGGTGGGGGGAAGGTGCACGTTTGAAATGCACGGAAATAATAACCCACCCGGTGCAGTTTTCTATTGAGTATTATTAACCTGTGAAGCACTCCATGCAGTCACATCCTGTATGACAGAGCAAATAGTATGGATCTGGCTGGATGTAATTTGGCTAAGTTATGGTTCATCATAGTCCCCTTTTCTGTACAAAGTGGCATCCCTGTTTGCAGACCTTAAGTTCTTTCCATTGGAGTCCATTATTAAGCCTCACGCTGGCTGTGGAAATTTTATTCACTTTCATACATAGCTTGACATGGTGTTTGGTACAGAAAATGAACTAATTTGATGGATTTTGCATTCTGGGTGTTGTTTTTTTTTATAGTATCTCTTTGATTAATATCCACAGCCCATCTATTGTTGAATGGCAACCCCATGCGAGAAGAAAGGGAGCGAGAAAGAAGGGAAAGCCAGCCTCCCTCTTGTTTCTGTGGTAACCAAGGTTTCTGCCGGCTGCTATAGATGGCCCTTCAAACATGGTTAGCTTTTGTTTCAGAAGTGTGTGGATCTGACAGGAATTTCTTGCTCCGAAAGTCTGGGGGAGCCTGGAATACTTCCTCTGCCTTCGGGAAGGAGTTCCCTGTACATTATAATCGGACGATTCCCTCCTCACTGGTGAACTTTTCGGTTCATTGTTCATATCTGTGGTTCTTGTATCGCCTGCAATTCAGAGAAAACAGAGGTTGCTTAAATCCCTGCAAAATGAGAGCAAAGCCATTGTGTGTTCTAGTGCAGGCCTGGGCAAGCTTGGGCCCTCCAGGTGTTTGGACTCCAACTCCCATAATTCCTAACAGCCAGCAGGCTGTTGGGAATTGTGGGAGTTGAAGTCCAAAACACCTGGAGGGCCGAAGTTTGCCCAGGCCTGCTCTACCCCTATTTCAAAAAGGAAGTCTTTAGTACCCATTACTTTTTATTAACTCCCATTTAATTAATGTTCTTTGTGTTGTACTCCTTAGTATGCATCTTTGCTAGAGGGGCAAACAATTTTTTTTTAAATTGAAGGGTGGTATTATTATATACTGATCTTGTTCAAGATCTAGGTCAGCCATGGGCAAACTTCAACCCTCTAGCTGTTTTGGATTCCCAACTCCCACAATTTCTAATAGCTGTTAGGAATTGTTGAAGTCGAAGTCCAAAGCACTTGAAAGATCAAAGTTTGCACAAGACGGATCTAACTGCTCATTGGGGACCCACTCCACACGAAAAAGTGTTTGGATCTTGATCACTCAAATAAACCCATGTGTAGAAGTTGCTTTCTACCATAGAATCATAGAATCCTTGAGTTGGAAGAGACCTTGTGGTCCATCCAGTCCAATTCCTCGCCAAGAAGCAGGAAAATCGTATTCAAAGCACTCCTGACAGGTGGCTATCCAGCCTCTGTTTATTTATTTTAAAATATATATATTTGTATTTATTTTATCATAATTCAATACATTTGTTATACATCATTTGTTGTACAGCAGACACATACTATTCAGTACAATCCATAATACATTTGGCATCTACTGTTATTTTTACGCTTATACATATTTTCTATCCCTCACCACCATGTTCCCCTCACCCTGAGCCACTCCTCTTATATATCATCTGCACAAAATGTTATTTCTTCTTGTGGAGGTAACTTTCCAGCCTCTATTTAAAAGTCTCCAAAGAAGGAGCCTCCACCACACTCCTGGGGCAGAGAGTTCCACTGCTGAACAGCTCTCACAGTTAGGAAGTTCTTCCTCATGTTCGGGTGGAATCTCCTTTCCTGTAGTTTGAAGCCATTGTTCTGCGTCTAGTCTCCAGGGCAGCAGAAAACAAGCTTGCTCCATCCTCTGTATGACTTCCCTTCACTTATTTATACGCGACCCTCATCTTGTTTCCTCTCAGCCTTCTCTTCTGCAGGCCCTACATGCCCAGCTCTTTAAGCCACTCCTCATAGGGCTTGTTCTCCAGACTTCTCTGGACACATTCCCTTGTCAGCATCTCCCTTAAATTGCAGTGCCCAGAATTGACACAGTGGTCTGACCAAGGCTGAATAGAGGAGTAGCATGACTTCTCTGGATCTAGACACTATACTCCTACTTATACAGGCCAAAATCCTATTGGCTTTTTAAGCTGCTGCATCGCATTGTTGGCTCCTGTTTAACTTGTTATCCATAAGGACTCCAAGATCTTTTTCACACATATTGCTGTCAATCCAGGGTCCCCATTCTGTATCTTTGTATTTCATATTTTCTGCCCAAGTAGAGTATTTGTCCCCATTGAACTTCATTTAAAGTCCAACAGATTTCCCTTGTTGGACTATATATAAACTGTTTTGTGCATTATGTCCACCTAAGCTACTAGAATTTGTCAGCAATTCTCTTATCTGTTCACCATTTGTAGTTGTTAACATAGAAGTCCATTAAATCACACTGTGCAATACTTGATGTCTTTTCAAAGTGTATTGACAGGGTTTTGGTTTTTGGTTTTTTGCATTTCTGCCCCATTCCTTTTGAAATGATATCTTGGAGAAAGCAGGTTTGAATTACAGATGCATTTAGCACTCATACACCTGTCTCTGTATAGTTAATGCCTTTTAACCTTTCAGAGAATATGTTTTCAGACCTGGAGTTGATATTCAAGTACTTTTGTGTTTTTGCACTGTAACACAGGGTTAGGGGAGCAGATAGACCTCATAATGTAATCTCCTGTGAATTCCTTTTCACATACATGCTCTTCTACTGTGTATACTAGTTGTTTTTTTGGGGTAACACAACTGTTGACAGGAAAGTTAACAGTTCAAATGTGGGGAGCAGGGTGAGCTCCCGCTGTTAGGCCCAGCTTCTGCCAACCTAGCAGTTTGAAAACATGCAAGTGTGAATAGATCAATAGGTACTACTTCTGCGGGAAGGTAATGACACTCCATGCAGTCATGCTGGCCACATGGCCTTGGAGGCGTCTACAGGCAACGCCGACTCTTCGTCTTAGAAATGGAGATGACCACCATCCTCAGAGTTAGACACGGCTGGACTTAATATCAGGGGAAACCTTTACTGTAGTATACAATTAAAAAAATGAATGAAAAGTGTTCACATTCAGTGCTGTTACACAGTCTGGTAGCATTTTAAGCCTTTATACAAATGAAGTGTCTTCCATCTTGGCAATTTATGTGCAGGGTCTGGAATGGTGTGATTACTTACTATCAATATTTAAAGTGTGTTCCTTAAACACAGTAGAAAACAGATTACAGAATCAGTCAGTTGAATAAAAGACTATTTACTTGACATAGGA